GAAGACAGGATAAAGACATGCTGTGGAAGAGAGACAGAGGTTAATAACAGATATGATTCAATGCAGAGAGGTCTGTTAATACATAGTGAGTGAGAGATAAAATAAAGTTAAAACAAAACAAGGTACCAGAAGATACAAGAAATAACAAACGATGACAACAAGACGTCAGCAGGGTACACCAAGAGAGAAGAGCAGTCATCCAGGGTCCACCTTACTATAAACCACACTGCAGACCTCATAGGAGGATCCTACTCACCACTCTTTCACAGTTACACAGCCAAACATTGGTCAGGGGGCATGAATCCGATCTGCAATGCTAAGGTCATGATCGTCGCCATCTATCATAGGAATGAGTGCCAAATACCAGGAGTCTGATTCGACAGCTCGGGGAGGGGTGAATGTTCATGCTGCGTTCAGAGCAATACAGTCATTAGTTCACTATGCAGGAACACAACATCATTTATAAAATCCAACCTGCTACATGAGCATAAAAGACCCGCTTCAGATCCCATTTAAAAACAAACAAACAAACAAACAACATGAGCAATGAGTCTGCTCAGAGCCCAAACTTAAAAAAACTGTTTTGGTTGTTTCTGTACTTCCCATATCAAATTAGAAATGCATTTTAATGAATAAATAGCGTGACCGATACAGATAAGTAGTCTACATTATGAAATTAGAAAACATTTACCACAGTGAAGGACCTTGAAGAGCAGAACTGCCACGCAAAAAGTCACTTGAATTTCCATGAGTGGGTCAACAGACGTTTCTATTACCAAAGTGATGTGCTCGCACATCTTATCCACGAAATAAAAAGTGAAAATCTTGGACTATGTGACATCAGCGGAAAGTACTCAGCTTTCTCTCTCTTTTTACAAATTGTGCACGCGCAAGTTCCTGCAGCATCACACATTGTTGTGTTACTCTCCAGCTATTCTGTATTTTATTTCATGAGGGGTAACACTACTCATCACATTTTTATAAAACCACTTTTATTAAATTCACATCATGGTGCAATGTAACAGACCTAAAAACGTATATCGACATGTTTATACATGAACTATATACATGAATTAAATTTTGATATTATTACTTAAAAACGTATTCACAATCCTTTTATTTATTAGTTTATCAGTAATGTTGAATAAATATTTTTTATGTTATTCTGACCCCAATAAAACACAACTAACATGAACAGACAATCAGCCAGCTCAGACATGTAATCTCTCCAGCATGGATGTGCCCTCCTGACCTCCTGACCTCCTCCTCGTCCTATGATGTGCCCAAAACACTTCACCTAGGAGGCTTTTTGGTTCAATCACCTCAGCTGGCTCTGTTGGGTGTGAAGGAGCTCTAATTAAGAAATCCCTTCCAAATTAGGGAGTTCCTTACCTGCCTAATGATGAGGCAGCTCCTTTCTGCTTATCTAGTCAATCTCATTTTTTCAGTCACAGTTAAAATTACAAGAAATGTTAAACAGTACAATATATCAAGAAAAGAAACTGAAATTCAGTGGACAAAAACATGATGTCACCTCTGACAGTGACTTCCCTGTTTGCTGTTTACCACCACGAATGAGCCAGTCTGACTTGTAAAAGTGCAGGATGTCTTCCCCCTGCTAAATATCCCCCATCAGAGGAGCAGGTGATATTCATGGTCCTCTATGTTCAAAGAAAGTAAAAGAAAATTGATGACAGTACACACAATATTCAAATTGAGGTTTTAAATGGTGCATTGATTTGTAATCAAAAGCATTTCAATGACATCACCACCAGGGTCAGCTGTTGGTCAGTTGGCAAGGTCATATCTGTATGATTGATATATGTGAAGGGAAGAGACTTCTTCTCTCCCCATCTGACAAAATTAACCTTTTTGTCTCCGTATTCATCCATTCAGATTTAACAAAGTCTCTTTCACAGCTCTTTACTCATCCAAGCTACACTAATGTATGCAGTGTTGGAAAGATTTCTTTTCATCTCTACAAGGTTAAAGATGAATGTGAAATGTCGCATGTGTCCTGAGTTCGAATATTTTAAACTGTGAAATAAGGCTGAAGAATACAAAAAAAACATTGACTGGAAACAGGAAATATAAAACTCACAGCAGTTATCTACAATGATTACTGTGAATAACCTTTATTGATGTAATTTGGATTAAAGAGGAATGTTTTTACTGCTGTACAACCATCAAAGCAAATATGTTGTAAGTAAAGTGATTAACCACTAGGTGACACCAGAACATTTTGATGTTAAACTTTAGCACAGATAACATGCACAACCTTAGCCTAAATAAATGCAAAGGTCTTGCATGTCCAGCATAGGGTACTTGATGGTTTTCTTTTAATGTTATTTTGGGGGTGTGCATTGTGTATGTGTGGGCAG